CCCCATTGAGAAGACTGTGTCTCACAGTTGCATATTCAGGGAAGCGAATGTTCATTTGGAGAGATGAATAAAAAAGATCAGTGTTTACTGTAAGGTTGTTAGGCTGGATGTAGTCTTGTTGAATTAGAATTAGGTTTCAATAATTTATAAAGCAGGTGAGGGAAACTGTTACTAAATTTACAGCAGGGAAGTGTCAGTAAAGCTGCTTGCTGACACAATGATCCTGCAGTTTAAGTGATCTACTTTAGTCCCGCTTTCCTGTTTTTTTTTTTTTTTTGTTCCCCTTTTTTTTTTTTTTGGATAATGTCATTTTGAGAGAGCGCAGACGTTTCTGCAGAAATGGTTACACTTCAGTGATGCACGTGATGAGGAGATGAAGACTCTCTTTGAGGAGGTGAAATAGGGCCAACAGATTCAGGTTTTAAGTATATATTTTTGCTATTATTTCCAGAATTTGGCTTATGTAACAGGTAACTGTTTTTATATGCCTTTTAGAGGACTGTTGACATCTTAGAAGCGGGTTGCTAAAGTACAGGCCATTCTAGTTCAGTTTTTCTGACTTTTTTATTTATTAATCTTGGCTGGGGCCTGGATGCCCTCGTGATGGTGACATTTTTTTCAGTGGATTAATAAGAGCTGGTGAAGTTATAAGATCGTGTTGCTGATCATATATTAAATGTAGAAAGTGTAAGTTGATAGTGAAGTAATACCTCGGAAAAATCAAAAAGATAAAATGAGATTTTTTTCATTGTGGTAATGCCAGCTGCGTTAGTTCAGCATCTGGGGGCTGCGCATGGTTCCCTGGAGGAGCTATGGAGTTTATACTTCCATTTTCTGGATAGATTTAGTGCACATTTGTATAATTTTGCATTAAACAGCTTTTATTTTTCTAAACTTGTTTACACTATCACAATAAATCACGCTTCTAAATCTTTTCTCACAAAAGATCAATCCAAATAACGTCCACTTCAATATATTTAATGATTTATGAAGCATAACAGTAACCAAATATTTTAATAAAATAAGTACTTGGAAATGTTCTCTATCTTGTGGAATCAACTCCTTTTAGCACTCGAGTCACTTTGGTAATTGAAGTCAACAGACACTGAGGATGAGTAATGCTTTCCAAGGACGTTTTCTAAGACCCTGATCCTGCAAATGCTTATGCCGATGCTTAACTTTGCATGAGTGTGTAGCCCTACTGAAATCAACAGAACTGCTCTTGCTAATGATATTCATGTTATTAGTGTGAGTAGTTCTCAGCAGAGGTGCACAATGCTGGTAAAGTTAACTGTATGCATAGCTGCTTGAAATACGTAGGCCGAAATCCCCCCTGTCGTCTCTTCCTTAAGTATTATTCATGTATTTCACTGAGATGTTGCAGGCCTTTTTGACAGACAGGGCAAGACTGGTAAATACAATCGCTGGATGGGTGAATTCACTGTTTAAATGTTTCCTTTCAGTGTTTCATAGTAGTATGGAATCAGCTATGGCAGTATTATCAAGGCAAGTTTTATAGGAAGAAGCAGTACTTACTACTTAGACCAGCTGATAGAGTTGGGAAACAAACAAACTTTTGCTTGCAGAAACTCTTTTTGGCTCCCTGCCTCTCCCTGCAAACCCTGTCTCGCTTATCCCCTTAGACTCTTACAGCTACCACATTGCTATTATTATAGAAATGCTAGAATGTGGAAAGCCTATGTGTAAAGAGACTCGCAGTACAAAAGCTGAGTATTTCTAAAATGGAGAATACAGAAGTAATATGTGAAATCTGTCAATGTCAGTGAAATTTTGAAGCACAGCAGTATTTTTTTTTTGCTCTACTTTATTATATTTCTATAAAATCTTATGTACTGGTGTGGCAAATAAATGGATTTTTTTCTTCTATGTCATGTTTGTTTTGATGATACGTACTGATGATTTTAATGCCAAAAAATTATTCATATTTTCTGAGCACTCATTATTTAGCACTCACGGTGCCTTATAGAATAATTTAAAGTTACTTTGTCCCGAAAAACAAAGGCTTTTTAAGGCTTCAGTTGTGGGTCTGGTCTACATGTGTATGAATTCCTTATTGATGTAACCATGTCAGCAATAGGTCTGAATGTATCCTGTTGCAGGATTTTTGGCAAGTTGGAGATGCAGATAAAACAAGTGAGAGAAAAGAAGTATTACAATATTGTTCCATTAGGTTTATTCCATAAAGCCTGTATATATGTTGGTGGGTTATCTCTTTTAACTTTCTGTCTAGAGGAGTTGTTAGAAGGAGAACGGTGAAGAAAGAGGAAGGCTTTTGGAAAATTTAAGTTGATCTATATCCATTTCATCCATTGGGAATATGTTTGTAATATTTGTTTTCTTTCAGTAGGGATATGTCCTCAGCACCAACTACTCCTCCATCAGTGGATAAAGTAGACGGATTTTCTAGGAAGTCCGTCAGAAAAGCCAGACAGAAGAGGTCACAAAGCTCCTCCCAGTTTAGGTCTCAGGGCAAGCCTATTGAATTAACTCCCCTGCCTCTGCTAAAAGGTAAGATCAAGAATGTTTTTTAGTAAATAACAAATTTTTACTTTACAGCTGACTTGTAAACTCAAAGTATTTTATTGCCAGCAGTTGCAGAGAAATTTTGCCAGTAATGAGAAATGTTTCATGCCAGAAATGTATGTATTTAAGCTCCACAGAATATTTTATCTGTGACTTGAGGGTGTGGTAGTAGTTTGCAATACTGGTGGAAGTTTTAAATGCTGATGTTAACCCATACCATGGCTTGAATTACCAAAGCACACAAGCTGTGTGTGAATATTTGAGTTTGTGAATCCTCACCAGTTGACCTAAATCAGCAGTAATTTTGGTAAGGGTAAATTGATTTGTGAGACGATGAAAACTGCATCGTTTTTAGGATCTTCCCTTGTAATATGTGGGTCTGCAGCCTGTGACACTGGTGCCTAATGCAGGCCCCAGGCGTATCTTGAGTGACCTAGAGCAAAGCGTTGCGGGCTGGGGAGCTAGGACCCCTCTCATAACATTTGTGAATGCCTAACTCCCAGCTCCTGGCTTCTGGTAGATTTTGCAATCAAAAGGTCCCATGAGCTTCAGCCTCTCAAGGGAAAAGATGCTTCCAATAAGGTGTTAGGCAAGACGCTACTGGTTTGAGAGAGTGCATCTCCCAGCTCTCAGTGAGTTTCTGCTGGCAGATTTACCCTCTTTCCCTTTCATTTGAAGAAGAAAATTGTGATCCAGCATACTACTCTTGAAAAGGTGCCAGTCCCTCTGTAATATTTTGGATGCTTCCCCTAAATCCCGGTTGTCACTGAATTTTAGTACAAATCCAGGGGCCAGCAGCATCGCTCAGAAGCATGTCTGTCTGCTGAGGAAGAGTTGTTCACCTTCCAGAAATGTTTCGTTTAACGCTGAATTCGGAACAGTTTTGAGTAGTTATGTGAAAATTTTTCAGTGTTGTTCTTTGCTGTTACAAGTAAGGAAAGCGAGCGCAGTTGATGTTGATATTGGTGCTGATAATTCTGAAAAATATTAAGATTAATAGGTTTAGTATTAGGCCTGCACCAGTCTTGCTTTGTAGGTGTGTACATTTCTCGCATCCCCTCTCCTCTACCTGTTTGACACGTTTGGTAATCGGAGAATGGAAATGCATAATAAATATGTAATTGCACTTTGGTTAATTTCTTTACCCTGCTTCTTCATAAGAATAGAGTGGTTACAAAGAAAAGCACGCGCCCTAATGTATGTCTTTTAATTTAAATAGAACAGGGATTCTAGGATTTGTTCTAGTGGAGTTGTCATTAAAATACTAGGGGCTTCTTTCTGTGGGATTCTTCTAAGAGTGTACAAGTCACGTCGCTGGGTCAAAAGAAAGGTCTCTTTAGGCCCGCTCTCTTGTCCCTGACAATGACTGGCTTTGCAGAGGGGAGTAAGAGAGCAGAACAGGCCCGGAGTGACACCGCATCATAACGCTTTCCCTGCCTGCAGCATTTTTTGAACTCGAGCTCTGCCAGAGCCAGTGGTGTTCGCTTTGTGGTCTTCAGTGAATTTTCTTCTTAGGAATCTTCCTAGTTGTTTTGTGAAGGTTTGATAAAGAGGCAAAGCTTTTTTGCAGTAATTTTACGGTTCAATTTTATACTTTTGCAGGTAATTTTTGATAGTTTCTTTCAAAATGCTAATGGCTCTGTTTCAGACAGTGAACGCAGTTTGGCCTTTGGCTTAAATGGCTAAGTCGCTGAAAAACGTTTAGATTTATGTTTGTATAATATGTAGATGTTAAAATTATTTCATCTTTTGTAGTCCCATTCAAGGAGTAAACTAGGCGTGTGCACAGGCATATCAAAAATGTGGGCCTCGTCTAAAGACGTGATCTTGCAGAAACATAAGCATATGCAGGTGTTTAATTTGACTACTGTAGCTAGTCCCATGGATTGAGATATAAAACTATAATAAGATAAAACAAACAGATGGGGGGCAGAGTGTGTTGATGAGACATTTATGATTAGTGTCATAATGAGTTACAGTGGTCCAGCTTCAAATTAAGAATCTGACCCTGCATATTAGTTTTCCCGCTTGGACTTAATGCGGATTCCCACAGGCACAGGATCTACCTGTGCAGATTAATTTGCTGGATTTGGGCTGAATAACCTATCTGAAGCAGCAGAGGCACTGCTGAAAGGACACTGACGGTTAAAAATCATGCTACTGTTTAGAAATATTCTTGACCTACATTGATATTTGAAACCTTTAGGATTATTAAATCTGAAAGAAGTGAGAAAACACTTTTCTCCTGCATTTGTCATGCTTTTCTTAGACAGTTGCTTGACAGTCCTGATCCTTTAAACTCTTAGGTTCACACTTACAGGACTAGTCACTTGTTTGAAGATTGCTTCAGTCCAATTACTACATGATTTACAGTTTTATCCTTATTTTTGGGGTCTTTCAAATCAAAAAAGAGAAGGGGTTTTAGCAAGATTGCTCTTTAAAGCCCCCGAAAAATGAGATGAACTTTGAGATCTACAGTTGCCAAGTTTATTTAAACTTACTGTTTTTGGGTTAAATTAGAGTTTAATTATAGCTCTTTAAAAATATTTTAGTGCTGGCAATCTGTAGAGGACAGGTCTTGAATTCAACCTTAAAGGTATTTTATATTCATAAGGGAGGGGCTTTGCAAACAAAAACATACGTGCTATGCTCCTTTCTGTTTTTTTCTAGTGTATTGTATATTGACGTTTGCAGGCTCTCTCTTCTCTCAGAGCAGGATTCTTATGAACTTCAGCATCTTCTGTGATTACAAGAATAAAGCATGCAGAAAAATAGATAAATGTGTAGTCCATTCTTTGCAAGTTTTTATACTGTGCTTGTCACCATAATGATTCGAGCACCTTCCAGTAGTGTATTAAGTGATGTGACTACGCATCTGTCACTTCTTATCTGCTCTCATTCCTTTCCCCAGGGGCAGAGTCATATACAGTGACTATACAGGCTTGTTTTGGTAGGGTTTTAATGCAATCTGTTGCTTTTTGTGAGCATACATGAACGCACTGCAAAAACAAATAGATAAGTCAGAGCTGCTGTGTTCGTTTAGTAATAAAAATGTTTCAGGAAAAAAAATTGAAGAGAGAAGATCCATTTTAATGTTATGTACAAGTCTGAATGATAACCTTACTATCCTAAATCTAATGATAACCTCATTAAATCTAGGAAATCTAATGAGAACAACTGTGGGATTTTCAGTATTGCTTATTCTGCTAAAGAAGTGTAGAAGAATGAAGTTGTTACTGTCTTTTTGTAATTAGGAAAAGTGTGTGTGTTGCTTAGCTTGTTGTAAATAAGCATTGTATGTATGTGTAAAACATGATATGCCTTCTGAGGCTCAACTGGACTGAGTTAAGACTTTCAAAAACAAACCAAAAAGCTCCTCTGTTCTCTTGCTGTAAAAGCTTAACTTTTCTGATAATTTAATTATATCTGCATTTATTACCTTGTAACCAAATATAATTTGGTATTATCTAACTTTTTTATATGGCTAATGCTGAATATAACACTTTGAAAGCAGCCTTTTTTCCTTTGTTTCCAGTGTAGAGAAACGGGAAAAAAGTTTACATGGGAATTTGTGATACAGTAGTCCTACATTTTCAATATGTGTACTCTTCTAAATATGCTTCTATCTCGCATTCATTTATGTTTCCATGCTTTTGCCTGGTGTATCTTACACTGTGTTATGGCTTTGATTTTGACTTTCCTTTTAAAGAAGTTGTTGCTATCATCGGGGCTAGGAGGTACCCTACATAATTGGTTTGTGGCAGAGCAGTCTTATTGAGGGGCCCTTCTCTGGGAATGAATACCTCCATCTCTGTGCCTTAGTCAAACACAGCCCAGGTTTGTTCATCAGTTGGTGGTGTGCCTCAAATCGTACTTGTTCTAAACACGGAGTTAGTGTTTTGTGTGCGTTGCATGCTGGTCTTATTTGCTAGAGGATTATTTTACTTTCATTTTGAATAGATATTCTTTTAACTCGGAAGTCTTTAGAGGTAGATCAGTGGAGGTGCAATGTAGGAAAACAGTTGATTGGGAAAAAAAATCTGTATTTTAATACTGGACACCTGAAAATGGACCAATTTCAGTACCACCCATAAAAGGGGAAGGGGGAGTTTATTCATTTTCCTACCAGTATCTGTAATGGTAGGGGAGTGTCCAGGGCATGAAGACTTGCATGCAGATGTCTTAAAAGGATCACATGCCTCATGAATACACATTTAGCGTCTCGAGAAATTGGACAGAAATTTAGCATGTAACTCACAGTATGCACCCCCCCCCCACCAATTAAAAAGGCGTAAATTAGCTTAAGCAAACCATCCAAAAGTAAGATTGGTTAAATTTTAAATCCATGTATCCCGTTTTGGTAATTTCAAGGTGTGTGCCTTATTGCTTCTTATCATTCTCCCACATTCTACAGTGACCTAATACAATTAGTTTACTTTACTTCGAGGTTTTCTAAAACTTGTGTGTATTTAGCTTGAAAGCAAGCTTCAGCTCAAAGTATAATTTTTATTTTTAGATAATTTTTCTTCCTTAAAGTAGGCACTAGTAACAGAAGTTCTCTATCAACAATAGCAATGGCTTTTCTACCTCAATATTATGAAATTTATTGAGCTTCTAATACATTTATCAGATAGTTTCCATGGCATTAAAGAGTTGCTGTAGTGGCAACAAAAGAGCACACTGCATAGTTATAAACTGAAAATCTCTTTGCACTTGCTGTTTGCTTTTGCATATTATGTTATTTCCATATAGGTGAGATTTTATTATAATCTCTTCTTATGAAGTCTATCTTTAGGTCAAATGCTGAAGTTCCTAAATAGTAAAAAATCCTATCAACTTCAAAACACTTTTTTTCTAAGTGTGAACTGCAAGACGTTTGCCTTCTTTTTCAAAATGAGCTACATTTGATCTTTTTAAAATCTTCTTTCTTGTAAGATTAAAAAAAAAAGATTTCGTAATATTTTTTTCAGAATTATGAGTACAAC